ATTTGAATTGAAAATGTTTGATTTTTTTTAAAATTTTGAAAATACAGTTTCATTAAAACTTGTAAGAAAGAGTTTTACCGCCCATTAAATTTTACCCGACTTGAATTTGGATTAGTCGATAACCCAGTGACCCAACCAAAGAAAAAAAAAAAGAAAAAAAAAAAAGCACAAAAACTTCGCCCAATTGGGTTTTGCCACATAATGGGGAATATCGATCTACTTACCTGTCAAGTATTTCCCAAACTATCGAGAAAGGATATTTTTGACAAGTTGAACTGTAAATAATTTCTTAATTATTTATTAATGTGGAAGGTCTTCTCTTGAAAGAGATGTGAAAATCATGTTTCTGTTTCTAAATATGTATGTTAGATGAAAGATAATACGAAACTCAAATCTGTTTTTCAGTTTTCCAGTACTTATAAAGCACCCATGAGTACAAGAAAAAGTAAAGCAGAAAGGGCCTCTCTTTTTTTTTATTTCTTAACTTATTTTACTTATATATTATATAAATTAAATTTATAATTTTTTAATTTTATTAAAATAAAATTATTATTAAACTATTTAAATCAATATTAAAATAAAAATATTATTTTTACTTTATAATGTACTTAAAAATGAGTATAAAGATAAAAAAAATAAAAATATCTTTAATAAATTAAAAATAAAGTATATTTATAAGGAGTAATAACTTTATTGTGTCTTTTTTCGATTACCTCATACATATATTTTTTTAGTTGCGGTTAGCCTTGAAAAAAAATTCTTTCTCAATGTAAAATACCTTTGACTCAATATGGTAAAAAAGAGAAAATAAATATACGAAAAAGAGAAGAGAATAAAGCAGATGAAAAATAAAGAGAGCAAACATAAAAGCGGCATGCAGGTACAAAAAAGAGTAGGCAGTACAAGCCACAAAAAAAAGCAGAAGCACAGGATGAGGTGAAAAGAAATCATGGCGTTGGATGCTCCACTCTGCCTTCACATAGACCATGACACGTGCTGAGATGCACAAAATATCATCGAGAAGTCAGCCAAACGCATTTGATAGATTATTACACGCACCCCCCACCTCTCCCCCACCACCTTCATCTCGCGACACGTGCCTCTGCCTCCTCCTCCACTCCCCTAGCTCTCTCGAGCCTGTCACAGCCTCTGTCACCACCATCCACCACCACCACCACCTCTTGCCTCCGCCTAGAACCGCTCAACATACACACACCGTCATCCTCATGGGGGTTCTTTCTTCTTTAATTAATTACTACAATTATGTTAACGTACAGGGATTAATTAAGAACACGTTCGAGTTAAATTATAAAAATTTTAATTTTTTAATATTATTTATTTTCATAAATTTAAATTTTTTTTAAATTTTAAAAATATGTTAAATATTAAAAATTTAAAAATTACAATCTTTTGTTTTTCATAAATTTTTTTTACTCAATTTTTTTTTATTTTTAAAAATATTTTTAATAAAAATTTTAATTTATTACTTATAAACAATAATAAAAAAATAAAAACTTTGATAAACTAACCCAAACTAACCCTAAATTAAGGTTGGCTTCTTTTTAACCGGCAACTGATGTATTGAGCATGGGATTGTGAGAACACGCTTATTAGGGCTTTGAGATTTGCTTTTCGGTAATTGGAGTGGTGGTGAGGGGATATTTGTTATGATTTGGATAAGAATCACGGTACTCCCACAAAACCCACCACCATTTCTCCTTAGTTTAAAATACTGATTTTTTTTTATTTAATTCATTCAAATTCTGTTTTGAACAATTAAATAATCTCCTTTAATTATCAAGTGAATTGATCCAAACTAAACTTTTCACCATCTTAATTACTTATAGGTTGCGATTCATATTTTTTTTCAAAATTTTATACTTAGAATATTATTAAATTTAAATTATTAATAATAATTATTAGTAATACTTTTGTATCAAATCAATTATATTCATATATTTATTTTATGAAAGATTTCGAGGAGGTACACTTTTAAATTTTTTGAAATATTTATTCAACATTAGCTAGGGAGCTATCTTAAGCGTGGTTTGGAGGATTTTTGCACCTAAATTGTGCAGTAGAAATTTCTCTATCAACCCAAAAGTTTTGAGAATCTTGCACTTTTTAGCTGTGATTGGAGGTTAGGGTTAAGCTTTTAGAAAACAAATTGAATGATTTCAATTATCAAGCCTCTCTCTCAGTAGCATCTTTAGGTCCATCTTGCAGAGATTCCAAAAACTAGAATCTGGAAAGGTCAGGATATGGAGGATTTTTTTTTTTATTTTTTTAGCAACTGGTTCTAGTACCTTTCCCATTGGAGTGGAGCTAAAATGGGGCTACCAATTTAGCCTAATTAAATATATGGATATATATTTGATGTGTTTGTTTAATTTCTATAATTTAAAAAACTGTTTAAATAAATTAAAATTAAGGATGAAGGATAAATAAATTAAAGTGAAATTCCAAAATTGGGGCGGAGACAAATTGTCTTCCCTCTGTAGAGGAAGATCCTTTCCTGGCCTGTGAATGTTGGCTATAGTAGTTGACTAGTTGCCCGTCAATACTCTTAAAAATTAGTGGGTGTTTGGTTAAGAGAAAACTTTCCTTCCTAGAGTTTTTTAAAGTTTATTTTTTATAAAGTTATTTATATAATTTTATACATTAAAATTATAATAAAATAAGAGTAAAAGTAGTATTTTTAATTTTTATTTTTTCAATATAATTCTCAACTTATAAAGTTTTTTTTTTCACATTTTTTTACAAGAAAAAAATTTTTTTTTTTATAACTATTCCTATATAAGGCTTATTTAACAATTTTCTCTATATCAATTTTTCATCAAATACAACAAAATTAATAATCTAACAAAATTCTAATAAAATTTTATTACAAAAGTAAATAATTTTTCATATAGTATTTTTTAACTTTTCATATAATATTTTTTTAACCACTTTGTTCAATAAAAACTTTTACGATAGAATGACATTCTAACCAA